AATTTATGTTAAATCAAAACATATGAATGATACATCTATTCTTATAAAATGTGGATATTTTACATATATATATAAAGATTTACACAAAAAGTAGATACTAGATAGATTCATTTGAAAGGCGGACAGATTATTTAAAGATGGAAAATTTGATACGAAAGGCAGGATGGAAATATATGAAAGGTAGGTAGAAATATACATAGGTAGATACAAACATATGATAATTGGAAAAATTACCTAAGGTAGAAAGATTTCTGCAAAACGTAGGTAGAAATGTATGGGTCTTATATGAGAAATAATTAATTGTATAAAGGTAGAAAGATACGCATGAACGGTAGATATACATCTGAATGATAGATAAAGACATATGAAGCGTAGATCTACTCACATGAAAAGTGAGCGTATTGATTACAGAGAGAAACTACATGAAGGTTGAGAGGAACGTAAAAAAATCGAATTATGAAAGAAAAATTCATATGGAAAAAATATTATATATAAAATAATATCAAAAGACGGAAAGATTTATACTAAGAGTAGATAGAAATAATTATATCAAATCTAGATAGATACATATGACAGATAAATTCATATAACAAGTGAACGATCTTTCCAAATGACAGAAATTATATTGTGATAAGAAACAAAGAGAAAAATTGGAACAAAGAAAGGGAAAAAAGGGAGCACTCATTTTGTTCTTCACTACTGATGCACCCCAGTACCCATTTAAATGCAGCAATCCTTACATCTATGAATAAATATGTACTACAGCTCATCAATTAATGAATAAAGGTGAATGAGACATTCTTAGAAAAGCATGGGGTATAGTCAAGGAGCTAGGCTGAGTTAAGATGAAACAATCTTATCAATAGCACATGAGCAGGAAAGCAAATATGACTTAGCTAGGCCAAGGTAAGATGAAACAATCCTATCAATAGCACATGAGCAGGAAAGCAAATATGACTTAAAAAACACAAGAGCAATAACCTTTTTCTAGAAGTTAGGAGATTCCAAGAAAGAAAATTTCTAAAAATAATAAATACATCTGCAGTTGAAAAACAAAAAGCTCCACCCATCCAATGCACCCTAATCCTTAAGAGGACAAGTCCAGCTCCACCCATCCGATGCATCCTAATCCTAAGAGGACAAGTCTGTGCCGAATGTATAGCCAACTACTTATATCACATGTTAGAATACTAATTATTGCATCTTAACTAAAAATGACTTCATTGCAAAATTCTACCCAGTAGCATTTTACGATAAAAGCATGCTAAGGAATCAAGGTGTGACATTTACAAAAGTTAACATATGAAGTGAAAATATAAAGAGTCCCATAATTGTATGTCATGGAAAAGAAATTAAACAAACATTTAAATGTGAAGCATGCTGCATCTAATGGGTTACGGCATACAAGCCATCTAAATTCCAGAAATATGAATCGTCCATGTAAAGAAACTAAACATTTTATAAGCAATAGAGATGCTAAGACCGCAGTTAGTCAAAGGTTTCTAGCAAACAACGGAAATACAACAGCAAAGAATTTTAAGCCACTTTCATTCCACTGATTAACTATCAGGACATCATTTAATATGATATGAACATACATGAGTTAACAATGAGTACCTCTTTATTCTTCAACAGTGTCCAAAGATAGAGCTTTTGTCCAGCTTCTTCAGCATGCCGACTAGCTAGCTTTCTTTCATTGCAATATAGAGCAAGCTCTGAAAGCACATCACACCCAGGAACTTTATACTTCACCATAGCAGCTGCTAGAGCATCTCTGCCTTCATCAGATTCAGCAGCATTTTTATTGAAACAAAGACCAGTGAAATATTTGTTTCCAACTTCAGTGCCGGATGTTTCATCTTTATCTACATAAGGCAACCGTTGCTTTCTCTTCAGATACTCTTCTTCAGCATCAAGTGCTGCAGATAGAATTCGATGCACAACTATATCAGGATACCTTCGTATTGGGGAGGTAAAATGAGTGTAGAACGGAACTGATAGTGCATAATGAGCCCAGTCATTTTCCCTGCCTTGCAATTCCCCAGTACAGAAGTATGCTGCTGGTTGCATTGGTCTTGAAGCATATGATACAAGAATGTCAAACAGCACAGGATCATCTTTAAGCTTCTCTCTTATTCTGGATAGTGATCGATGAAGTTGTCCAGAGGATGAAATGTCCAACTCAAAACCATGTTTGTTGCAAAATACTTCAAATTCTCGAAGCTTTCTTAGATTTGGTTCAGGATGCCTGCGCAGTAAAGCACGGTCAGGAAATGTCATAGAAATGACTTCTGCGACTGATCTGTTTGCAAGCAGCATGAATTCCTCAACAAGGGAGCAGGAATCTTTCGTCTCACGAAGAAAACTATCATATGGGTTTCCATACTCATCAAACAAGAAACCAAGCTTAGAACTGTCCAGCCAAAGGGCTCCATCTTTGAACCTACCTTCTCTTAGGCGCATAGAGATCTCATACAGGCTTCTTAGAGAGGTAATGATATCCTTCCACTCGAAACAGCCATGTAACTTAGGACTTGGAGTTCCATAAGAATTACACTGTTCTTTAATAAAAGATTCATCAAGGATTTCCTGTACGAGATCATAAGACAGCTTGCAGCAAGACTGGATAATAGATCGACCCATCCACCTGTTAACTATCTTTCCTGAACTATTAATGTCCCAGGTAATTGAGAAGGCCAGTCTATCTACCCCAGGGAGAAGTGAACACAACCCTTCAGAAAGTTCTGGAGGCAACATTGAAAGTCTATGCTGTAGTATATAAACACTCGTGCATCGAGTTTTTGCTTCTGTATCTAGAGCTGTTTCAGGAAGAACAAAGTACGAAACATCTGTGATATGAACCCCAACTCGGATTGTCTCGTCGGATACTATTTCAACTGATAAAGCATCATCAAGGTCAGTAGCAGAAGAAGGATCAATTGTAAACGTGCAAATATTTCTGAAATCCTTTCTAGTTTTAAATTCCTTTGATGGGATCTGCCATGGTAAACCTGGAATGCATCCTAATGAAACAGAAGAAAATTTTGAATCACAAATTGCATTTTCAAACAAAATGGCAGCTATTTGTGGTTCAATTTCTCCTCCCCTTCCTAAACTACGCATTATACTAGCCGTTGGAAGAGGGCTTTCATCACTCCATTCATCTATTTTAGCAGCAATCAACTCCCTTTCCAATGTCACATCGCCACTAGTTAACTTTTCCTTCAAAAAGTCTGGAAGGGTACTGACACTAACCACCATCTTAGGAAACTTTGGATCTGTAGGCAACAACTGTACATATTTAGATAGTAAGATCTTATTGTCTTTTTTTAAAGATTGCCCGTTTTCCTGCATTCTATACTCCTTATTAGCAGAAAGAAAACCAACTACTGCTCCACGTCGATGAGATTTTCTCAAAATAGCTAAAACTCTTCCTGTTGGTCGTTTTGATGGGCTGGAATTTAACATTGCACATATTCTTCCTAATGCTCTTGCAGCTTCATCTGAACTCCCTGGGGCCATATTCTTGCGTACATCAGGCTTATTATAATTACTCTGAGATCCATTGTCCAGATAAAGAAGAGCAGATTCGTTTCTAGTACCTTTTTCATAGTATACTTTGCCCATTTGGATTGACATACTAGAAGCTGTATGTTCCTGAGTAGCACAGCTCTTGCCAATTTCTGTACATTCAGGAGACAAATTAAAGTCATCTGACACAACAGGATTGATAGAAGTACTTGATCCTTTCAACTTAGTCCAATATGCCATAGGATCCAACTTTATAGCAACGATATCACCTTCAATCTACAAAACCAAGCATGTTCAATATTTTTTAATTACTGTTAATATTGAGAGCTTTTAAGAAGAGTGGGAATTAACAAAAGGAAATAAAGAACATCTTGAAATAGTAACACATGTTGCTGATTAAGTGCTCTGCTTTGCATAGTTTAAAGTGACGTTGATTAGCTCACAAAGATAACTTACTGATATTACATCATGTCAACAACTGAATATAATTATCACCGAGAAAGTGAAGTGACAAACATTACATCAAATAAATCACAAAATTTACAACAGACAAAATTAAGGAAGAGTATCTGAATGCACACACCAGCTCGATGCCTGCTCATGTGGACACACCCACACACACGCCCACACGCATGCACACACACATCTACAATGCGCACAAGCATGAACAAGCATGTACACACATACATGTTGTGTGTATGGATGTACGCATATACAAAAAATGGATATGATGTGTGTTTGTAGTTCTCTGAGTATGCTTGGTACCAAGGACAAACTTAGTCCTTGTCAGTGAGGTGGTTAGCATATCAACTACTCATTTAGATAGTCCCCACTTGAAAATGATCTGTCACTTAATTTTTTCCCCACTTGAAGATAGTCCCCCTATAGACAAGGGGTTGAGATGTCACCGCCTAGGTACCAAGGACCAAATTCAGTCTTTGGTACCAAGGATACCCATATTTCCTTTACAAATGTGCGTTTGTATAGAGAGAGAGGAGCTATTATCCACTTAAGTGGATAGGCACTCTTTGTCTATCCAAGTTTTTGGCCATTGGATTGGCTTGATTGATTAAAATCTGATTTGATGAGTTGGTGTGCACTTGAGGCAGGGGTAATTTAGCAAAATAAAGGAGAAAATAGCACCAAGATTTCCTTCTTCTTTCTCTTCTTGACAAAACGCCGCTAGGGGAAAAAAAGGGAAAAGACTTTGAACCCATCTTCCCCCTCGGCAAACCCAAGATCCTCCGAGCTACCAGAGCATCGTAAAGGCCCTCGTTACTTTCTATGGGAAGTACGTTGATGACGAGCAATGAAAGAGACAAAAAGATATTCTTTACTATCTTTTGATCTGAATGATTTCTTTCGGGAGCTAGTATTCTTTTTTGGGTTTGGAAATTAGTATAATATTGTTCAGATTTGGTCAAAGTTAATAATTTATAGCTATGTATACTAAAGGGGATTTAATTGTGCTCCTTTTGCTAAAATAAAAATGAAATAGATCTTTCGTCCTCATTTGTGCTCTTTTCTTAATTTTATTCCTCAAGCTAAATGTGTTACAATTGAACAGCATTTGAACTATGTTAAAATTTTAACAACGTTTCGATTAAACTGAAAGCCTCCCATTCTTGAATGATAAATAAGATATGAACACCAAAATAAAAGCATGGTGGAAGGATTATTCATCGGAGATAAAAGTGCGAGTTTGATTAATTCATCAACCCACTATGGAGTGGATCGAGTCCATCAGAATTTGAGGATGTTGATAACATCGATTAAATGATTTGGTCGATGCCAATCAATTCGATCAATTGGTTTGGTGGGCATTGTCCGAACAGCTAGTCTTTTATCACCAATTTTCAATTTACATGCTTGTCATGACCGATGCTCACTACTTAATTACATGGGTATATATGGCGGCACAGTAGTGGCGGGGAGAAGGTAAAATTGTGCTTTTGGTGAGACGATGAGAGGAGGATCACTCAGCCATAAAATGAGGGAGGATTGCGCTCGCGCGCGCGAGAGAGAGAGAAGAGAGAGAGAGAGAGAGAGAGAGAGAGAGAGAGAGAGACCTCTTGATTGGATCTCCCAGCAAGGCAAAGGGAACAGGGTCGGTGGACCGCTTGATTGGATCTCCCAGCAAGGCAAAGGGAACGGGAACAGGGTCGGTGGAAAACGACTTCTTGTCCATGAGTTTTTCCTCAGTAATTCTCGAGAACAAGAGAGAATGGTGACAATTTCTTCTCATAGTTTTCCTCTTCTGTTTCTTTTATGTATACTTTTTTCCAAACTAACTCTTCTACAATAAATGAATGAGATTAATTTGATTAAGTTCTTGATCTCACAAGTCCATCCAATGGCTAAAAGCTTGGTTGGCAAGAGCCTCTATCCAATCAAGTGGATAATAACTCATATAGATGCACACACAAACACGTACGCACGCAAATACAGCACATACATACATATATATATGCCTGTGTGTGTATGTGTGTATACATATTAGTATCAATGCACGTGCAAATGCATGTGTAATGAAAGTTAAAACCCATGTATCCTAATTTTTATATAGAAGGGGTATTTTTATATGCTAAAGTTTTACTTCAACTAGTTTTAACGTTAATGTCCTGAAGTTCAAATTTACACCAAAAACTACTCCAAAATTTTTAATATAATTTTCAAACAATGATATAAGAATTATTAAAATAACTGGATGTGAGAATAAAGTAGTTAGAACATGGGAATTTTGCATTCCATTAAACTAAATATCAACTAAAATTATTTTGCAGTAATATAAGATTATAAGGAGTTATTCCCAAAAGAAAAATATTTTTACAATTTTGAATAAAAAATATGACTTAAGTTGATAGTCTTTAACTTTGTATACTAGATTTTTAATGATTAGAATATCCTTTTATGCTCTTGAATCCATTTCTTCTATATTTTCTTTAAAAAATCTTAGTTGATTTCAGAGGGCTCGTGAGCCTTCTTGTAAAAAGGCATATTGTTTATTACTTTTTCCTTTTAACTTCAAGAATATCCAGCCATTTGAAAATTATTCTCTTTTCCATTAGATTTTTAGATGACTGGGAATGAATGAAAAATAAATTTATCTTTATTTGATTCTTGGACTTTCAAATTTACCCCTAATTCGGCATTGAAGAAATAGAGATTTCTAACTTCCAGTTAGGAGTACCAAATACAAATGATCATAATTTTGAATTATTTTTTGTATACATATTTTTTAGGTGAGGATACAATATTTTATTAGTAAAATATTTTTGAGAGATGAAGGCTATATATTTAAAAAAATTATATAAAATCCAACTTTGGAATAAATATATTATAAAAGCCGTCTCTCATGTAATATAATTCTTCATAGGAAAAAATATAAAGGATCATATACAATGATATAGTCAACCATCAATAAGTGAAATCGTGGCTTTATGAAGGAAGAAAAGAATTAAAATATTTTAGGGTCTAGAACAAATAACTTATAAAGGTTAATCTAAAATAATCTAGCTTAAAAATGTAAGTATCAAAAATTTAAGGGCCTAATCTCAATAGGAAAAAAAGTTGGGGTCTTATAGGAAAATCCTTCACATTTTTTTATTTTATAAATCTACACCGCCTTGTAATTATACAGTTTACTTTGTATTTGAATCATTTGATCATTTACATATGGGCCCATATATGATAGATTGATATCTCATTATCTTATCTTAGAATATAAAAACTTTTAATGAATTTACCTTTATGCCCTTGTAATTACAATGGAATGTATGAATTGTCACCATTCCTCAAAATTATTGTTTGCCCTTTTGGGGCCATTTTAGAAGTGTAGATAATGATGTAGGACTAGATCTGGGCTAAAGAATCTCCACGTAAAACTAACCTGAACCCAAAGCTCTAAGTTACTGAACCTAAAACTAGATAAACTGCGATTACTAAAATTAGTTCTCTTCTAAATTCTACCAACATTTTTTTCTCATGGCGTCCCACAGAAAGAACTTTAGCAATGATCCTAAAGACAAAAGCTAAAGGAAAAGATATTATGCAATCACTGAAAAAAATTGAAATGCACACACAAACTAAGATAATAGTAAAAAGTACTATTAATCATTTACATAAACTTCAAAAATTCAGCTCTCTGTAGAAATAAAAGCAGTTCCACGAGGGAGAGCATCAGCTTTGGTGATGCACAAGGAAAAGACAATCCTTGTAAAACCTCATGCAGTATGAAATATTATTGAACTCTGAAAAATCACTCACCGCTCTATTCTGAGCATCAACACCATTGATGAGAACATCCACTGGCACCCCATCTATAGTGCAGTAAGCCTGACATATCAAATAAATACCATATAATCAAGAACAGCAAACAAGATTTCCCCGATAGAAGTTCTCAACTGCAATTGAAACATTCCGACCTCACCTCTTTCGGATTGTGTGCATTCACACGAAATGTTGCTTGAAAAGCATTTCCTTTCTGCATTTTACCAACGAAAAATACAAGTTCACCATTACTTTATGTACCATTGTTCTGCAGATTCACAGTTTTCTCCCTTTAAAAGTTAAATACAAACCTCGATGGCTTCTTCAACTGCCTGTTCCGACAAATGAGGTTCAAAAACTTTCCTCTTAGTCGGGTTTGGTAGTATACTTGTCTCGTTGGAAGCTGGTGGTTGCAAAGGAGAACTTAAAGGGGGCAACGGGCAAGATCCTGAAAACACCCTCCGAATGACTCCCACTGGGGCTTCGGCGTCACCAATATGAATTGGAGGGAGGGAATTGAAAGCAACATCTGACATTTTATTTGAATATGGCTGGTCGTTGTATGAGGTAAAATCTCCCCCTTCTAGAATTTAACAGAATTCAGTTAACATATATTCCATTTCTTATGAGACAATAGCTGATCATTAAAACCCAAAAATGTCTAGCTGGCAATATCATCCGAGAATTCATATTTTTTTCTTTCCTTCAGAGTGTATCAGACGATTAGCATGCAATGTTTCTAGTGAGCAAAAGAGTTTGCTTCCTCAATAAATAACTAAATCAATTTACACACCCGTTATTTCTGCAACTTAAGTGGGCCCAAAGAAAAAGTTACTTAGAATACAAGAGAAAATTGTTTAACCTCTAAACATACAAACATGTGTAACATATATATAGGAGAAAGTTGGTATGAGATGGCACCACCTTTTACAAAATGATCTATAAAGTGAAAATATTGGTGGTGGATTCCACCCTGCCATTCACATCTGAGAAGGTGGATCTCATCACTCTTGTCGTTTTTATCTTTTCTTCGTTTGTTGTGTTTTCTGAAGGAGATCGACCCTCCTTTTATAGGGGCTAAGCCCACTATCTCCACCCCCCTCAAATCCGCCCCATGAGAGATTTCCTCTCAACAAACCCACGTTCCCACGTTCTTCTCAACAGAGAAACGAACGTTGATTTGGTCACCGAAGACCGATTCAAGCTAACATCTCCCACTTGACCAAATTAACCAAGTGACATGCCTCCCACTATCCGTGAGATCGGATGTTTCTGCTTACCATTACTCCCACTATCCGTAGAGAGTAACTCTTATTTCATTATTCATGAAATTTTACTTGGACTTATTTATTCCTAAGTCCCATCAAACTTACATGTTTGATAAAAGATTCCGCTGGTATTCCTTTTGTCAAAGGATCAGCAATCATATCTGTAGTAGGGATATAAGTCACTTTGACTTCTTCCTTTTCTACAATATCTCGAATATAGTGATACTGGATCTCAATATGTTTTCCTTTGGAGCTATTCGCGCCACTATTGATTAAGCTAATTGCTGCTTGATTATCACAATAAATATCAATAGGTCCTTCTAACAAATTGAGATCAAGATCAATCAAAAAAGTGCTTGAAATCAGAGGAGCAGCGATGGAATTTTGAGGGGGGCTCCGATAATGCCCCCCTCGACGCACACACAACGCACATAGTAAGGTAACGCATTTAACTAGAAACTAACCACCATAGCAACAATTTCAACTCAAAACCAAGTTAAAAAAAGGTATTCACTGAAATTGTCAGAATCCAGAGTTCAACCCACATCAGTTCACCTGTAACAGTACAACATCTACAAAGTGGAGGATTTCAGTGTCGGAAAATATAATATGAACTTGCAACCAGCAGATCCTGCCCGGAAACTACCCAAAATGCAAGGTTCTTGTTTAAGGGAAAGTATTAAACTGGACCAACTGAAACAACTCAATTGATCCTTCCTTAGTGGCTCAGAAAACAACCCATAACAGATCCATAAAATTTAGGTAAAAGAGTTCTTTTACTTATAAACCATGTACCTCTTCTGGCGAACAATATTTATCCAAAAAAAATCAATTGACACAACTACTCGAGTAATGAGCTGAAAGACAATAGAGAAATCAAACTCCTACTTTAAGCTTAGCTACAAACTAAAAACAAACCCAATTATTTACGAAAGATACTGAATCCAAAACTGAAATGAACTCTGATTTCAACGTACATTTAAAGAAAACTATTTTGTAATGCATAATCAACTATGCTACGCTAAAGAATACCCTCAAACGTCTATCATACATTACAAAACTTAAAAAAGTTGAATCCTTCCCTAACAATATTTACCAAAATCATCAAGGAAAACCCTGCAAAGGAACTATGCTTGTCTTATCCTTATTAGATTTAGCTGTCATCATTCGATTACTACTCTAGACCAACTGCATCCATTCTCAATCATCCCCAACTAAACTGGGGGGAAGAAAAATCTACTAAAACCACACCCAAAAAAAGGGGGGGAAATTACAAAGATACCTGGTGGCGCTGCAAAGCTCTGCTTGGATCGCCGATTCTTCAGCCGCTGCTGCGACGAAGGCGACTTCTTCGCAACTGGATACATCATTGAAATAAACCAAGAAAAAGTAGGAAACAACAAATGAGGAAACCCTAGCCCTAACCCTAGATCTGATAGATTTTGGTTCCGATGACTTCAGAAAAAAGTTAGAAGTATCGGGAAGAGGAAGAAACGGATACAAGAGATTTGGGAGGAGGAGGAGGAGGAAGGGGGTGGGAGCTTTTCGAGAAAATATATCGTATTTAATAAGGAGATCGTGACGTAAATGATGGGTCGGCAAGGCAAGTTTGCGCCGACTTTTTGCCGACGTCTTTTTCTTTTTCGCTCCCTCGCTTTTCGTTTGGGTTTAGTATATAAATAAACTTTCTCTTTACAACAGCTAGGGAGTTTTTACGAAGAACTGGGTAGGGGTGTCCGAAAAGCCTACGATTTAGGCCCGGATCCAGCCCGGGACCGGGATCGGTCCGGAAACCCGGCCAAACCCGGGTCCATGCCCGGCCCGGTGTCGGCCGCAAGTCGCCCGGTCCGGAGCCGGCCTGGCCCCGGAACAGTGCGGGTCCGACGCCTGATCGGCCGGGCGACCCGGTCCGGGCCCGGCCCAAGCAACAACGGTCACCCCTGTGTGACCGTGATGAAAAAACCAGCCGGGTCATTTTTACCGTTTATGTCGGGTCGGGTCAGCCGGTCCGAACCGCCAACGCCATATTTGGCTATTTGACGACTTTGCCCCTTAAAACGGTCAAAAAACGGCTAGAACATGAGGGTTTTTTGGTCATTTGTCTAGAGGGCTGCCTCTATAAATAGGGGGGTAAACTCTTCTACTTCTCTCTAATACTCTCTTATACAATATTATACTCTCTTATAATCTCTTATATTTTCTAATACTTCTATCAAATGGCTTCTGGATCTGATTATAAAGAGCAACACCTATCTCCTACGAATCCAAAAATGAGTCCTCCTACAACAACTACTCCTCCTACCAGTGTTAATCCTGAATCTAGTGGCGACGAATCTACTGCACCAAGAGTTCCTAAAAGGGCGGGATCCGATGTGTGGAATTTTTTTGAGAAGATAGACGTCACTAAGGATGAACACGGTAGGATCATCTCCCAAAAGGTAAAATGTGCGTTGTGCGGCCATGTTTTCCAAGCTCATCATAAGAGCGGCACCAACCATCTCAAACGCCATATAGAAAAACACAACAAAGGTCAGAATCTTCAAGATGATATCCGACAGTCTATGATTTCCCAATCCTCCTCTTCTGGTACCATCGGTAGTTGGAATTATGACGTTGTCCGAGCTAGAAAATGCGTAATCAGGTTTATTGTTCTAAAAAACCTGCCTTTTAAATTAGTAAAAGATGATGAATTTGAAGATTTGTTTAGAGATAGTTTTTATCCTGCATTTATAAAATTTTCTCGTCAAACCTGTCAACGTGATATTTTAAAATATTATCAGGAGGAACAAGGAAAAATAATTTCTTATTTTAAAAATTTAAAATGTAAACTTTCTTTAACTTTTGATAGTTGGACATCTAGAGTAAAAACTGGTTATTTATGTATCACAGCACACTGGATTGATGAAAATTAACAAATGTTTAAAAGAGTTATTTCTTTTATTGCAATTGAAGAGTCACACACTGGTATTAATATTGCAAATTTAATAATTGAAGAACTTATGAAACTAGAAATTGATCAAAGAATATTTTCTCTTTCACTAGATAATGCAAGTCATAACAATGTAGTTGTTGATTTTATTAAAACAACTCTGTCATTGCCAAGTCATGGTGACCTTTTTCATGTTAGATGTATCTACCATATTTTAAATTTAATTGTTCAAAGTGCATTTTCTGAAATTAAACCCATGATAAAAAAAGGTTAGAACAGTTGCTAATATACATAATGCTTCTGAAATGAGAATTAAAAGATAGAAACAATATTGTAAAAGAAAAAATTATAAGCCTAGACTAATTCCAAAAGACGTTGACCATAGGTAAAATTCCACATATTTAATGTTAAGTGTAGCAATAGAATATAAAGAAATTATAAATGATTTTATAAATTTTTATGCTTCTAGTTCTAGCTCTGGTAGCACTTACGGAATAAGTGAAGATGAATGGACAATTATATGTAAATTAAATGAGATGTTACAAGCTTTTTATGATGCTACTATGTTATTATCTGGCTGTTATTATCCAACTATTACTTTAGCTGCTTTACAAATTTTAAATATTCAAATTTTTTTGTCAAATATCGTATGGATGATATTTTTGGAAATATAATTTTTCAAATGGAGAGCAAATTTAATAAGTATTTTAGGCCTATTCCTCATATTTTTGGTTTGAGGGATCTTGTGATCCATGTTTGAAGTATATTGGTCTTCGAAGTTTGTTACAGTCATTGTATGGTGGACAGATTATAGACTTAGATGATGGTTCCACCCTTACTACTACTTCTCATTATTTTTCTATTAGAAATTATTTTCAAACATTATATGATGAGTATGCAGCTAGACATGGTGTAGCTGCACAACAGTCTACAGCTTCAACGACTTCGACTTCGAGCACAGGTAGAGGTAAAAGTGTAAGTTTTGATAAGTATGCAATGGTAGCTGAACTAACTGGTGGATTTGGAATTGGTTCAGGATTAGATGTTTCTGAATTAGATGAATATTTTTATGCTTTCTTAGTTAAATGTCAAGGAAATGCTTTAGCTATTTTACAATGGTGGAGAGTATATGGATCAGTTTCATATCCTATACTTTCCACCATGGTTCGTGACTTACTATCAGTGCAGGTTTCGACGGTAGCTTCGGAATCCGCCTTCAGCATAGCAGGATGTTAGATCGACGACCGCATGACATGCTTAGATTCGTATACTGTACAAGCGGTGATGTGCTTACAAGATTGGTGGAGGTACGAGAAGCGAACACAAGGCATCGATCGGATTGCTATAATTAAAGATAAATTTGAAGAGTTGGGACTAGCAGATAAATATAAAGATTAAATAATATTCATCAAATTGTAGTTTTTATTTCTTAGCTTTAAATTTATAATAAATTATTTCGAAAAAAGTCACAAATGATAATGATATGGGTGAGTAGGTGCCAACCTAGTTGGGATTTACTTATCTATTGTGATGTGATAAATTTTGAAATAAATCTATAATTATAAAGGATTTACTGATTATTAATAAAGAAATTATTTTTATCATCTTTTATTTTTATAATTTTTTGTACTTGTAAATTATGTCATTTCAAGTTATTAAAAAAATTATATCATTTTTTGTAATTTTTATAATTATTGTTTTTTAAAAAAATTTTAAAAAATTTTAAAAAATTTTAAAAATGAGAAAAAAACCGGGTCGGTCCGGAGCCCGGCCCGCTCAGGCCCGGGCCCGGGTCCGGGCTTCGGTTTTTCCCGATTTCCCGGGGCGGGCCGGGCCGGATGAACACCCCTAGAGCTGGGAATGAAAGTCTATTGTTCGACAAAGAAAAATGGGATCAGAATTAAACCAGTTGTTATAGCTCAATTCTAAAAAATGAAGGTCAGTTTGTCAAACTTAGAAATAATTCGGTTTAGTTTCGATCCAGTTGCACTAGTATTAGATTAGACTAAACTAGTTTTTGTGCGGACTAGCTTTGAGTTGAGCTTAGTTCGGCTAATTTTTTTTATAATGACCGTGAAATTTTGATATTAATTAAAATAATTTTCTAGTATTTTAAAACATTTAATTATTATTTTTAAAAGAGTATTTGTATTTTTCTCAATTTCCTATAATTTTCTATGATTTAAAAAATTTTTAAAAGAGTATTTGTATTTTTCTCAATTTCCTATAATTTTCTATGATTTAAAAATCTGATTATATATTTATTTAAATGATTTTGATATTTATAAATTTGTTTTGTGCGGTAAAAATTGTTGAGTTATCGGTACTATTACGTAATATTTTAAATAATATATTGTATTATTAATATTATTACAAATTATTTCATATAATACATGGTATTATTAATTACGTGTTTTTGGTATAATTTATTGTATTATTTCTATTGTTACATATTATCTGTCGTATTAGTATAACTAGTACGTTTTACTGCGTACGTAATTGTTCCATAATTATTTGATTTTAAATATAAGTAAATATATTTTTATTATTAATTGTTCTCGTTTAATTATACAATATATGTATATTTTGACTATTTCGTATCAACCGTTGTATTAGCACAACATGTATGTTTTTATTTATAGATAATTATTCTGTAATTAGTTTAATTTTTAAATACCCATAACTATTTATTTTAATTATTTTCGTTTAAATACCAAACCCTAACCCTAATATCATTTTATATATATCATATCATATATATATATATAACTATATATATATATATATTATATATATATAATATATATATATATATATTATATATATATATATATATATTTATATATATAATATATATATATATATATATATAATATATATATATATAAAATGTTTAACCCTCTCTCTCTCTCCTCTCTGTGTTTTCATGCCGCCACCCCATCATTCTCTCCTTCTTCCTCTCTCTCGTCCACGAGACTCAACCCCGCAGCCCCGCCTGATCGCGCCCTCCGACCACGCCCAAGCTCCACGAACCCCGCCTCGCACCCCTCTCATCGTCGCGCTCCAGCCCAACACCGCTGTGAGCCTCCCCCACCTCCACCGTCGTCGAGCCTCTCCCTCTTCCTGTCACACCCACCACCGCATCGCACCGCCCCCGAGCCACAGCTTCATCGGCCGCTCTCCGCTACCTCCTCCTTTCTTCTCCCTCCTTCCCCCTTCCTGACGATAGCCACGTCTGTCCCGTCAACCTCCGCTACGAACGCCAACACCCCAGAGCCAGGATCCCTGCCTAGCATAACCCTCTACACCGCCCTTAGCCGTAGATCCCCTGCCGCTTCGCTCCTCGCTTGGTTTTCTGCCCCGCGCTCTCGGACCTGCCGGCCAACCTGCTGCCGCGACCCCAAGCTTCCCAGAAAGCGCCTCCTTCAAGTCCCCTCTACCCGCCAGTTCCATCGCCTACACCACCCCACAGACCCGCTCCTGACGCCGTGCCGCCGCCTCTTCCCTGACGCCGACCACGTCGTTACTCGAGCCGTCGACCCGCTGCCCCGTCGCCGAACAACCCCTTCCCCGACCGACATTCTTCAGACCCGCGTCAGATCCGACCCGCACCGTCAGCGTCGATTCGATCGACAAAACCCGAGGCAAGATCCCGCTCCTCTTGACTCGTCATTTCCAATTTATATATGTCGTTAATTAGTTGCATAGATTAGATTATGAATTGT